CTAGAGCTGGTGCTCAGCCTCACACTTACTGAGTGGGATGTTTCAGTGTTTCAAATACGAAACTTACTTGTGAAACTGGCCTCCTCTTTCTCCATGAGATGTAAGCACTCCCTGGGATTCAGCCAGCTGTCACCTTCAAATGAATGATGCAAAATTATAATCTCTGATTCTCATCTTTCTGCCAACTTGCAGATTTTTATTAACCAGTAAGGTGCCTTCAACACACATGTCCAGAAAAGCACTAGCTAAACATTTCTGGAAATACTTTAAAATTTTAAAATTAGCTTGGTTCTTCTGCAGTTTTATACATGTTCATAATATATTCTAATTCATCTCTGCCTACATCCGCTCTCATCTCTCCCATCCCATCATCCCCCTCCACTTCCTCCTTGCTAGTATCTTTCCCAGATTTATGATTTCTAAAAAAAAAAAAAAGAAGCTTTCATTCCTCTAAACAAAATTCTCCTTGCTGAAAAATTCTAAAGATCCCCAACCTCAGTCTCAGTTATAAAACTGTTCAGTGAGGCCTCTAAAGCCATATCGTGTATGTGTGTGTGTCATATATGTATATGCATGTTGTATGTGTCTATACACACATATATGTGTATAAGTAGCTTGTGTATATACACGCACATGGTGTCACACTTTATTACATGTGTAGACGCACACACTCCACATGCAGAGTGTGGAGATCAGAGAATGCTTTGCAGGAGGGAATTCTCCAATCACCACCTAGAGCCCAGGGATTGAACTCAGGTCTGCAGCCTTGGTGGCAAGTGCCTTTAACCCCTGTAACCCCCAAGCCAACTCCTTTTTCACCACATGGAGCATTGCCCTGGCATGAGGTTAGCCGTGCATGCCTCTGCAGCACAACTCAGGGACTAGTTAGAAAGCCATCATGGGACTTTCCAAAACTCTCCTGACGCATATCTTAAGATGAAAAGTGCCTCTTTAAAGGGCTTGAACTCCAGTTATAGATTAAAATTCATGGAGAAGCACATGATGAAAAGTATTCATATATTAACAATGACTAATTTCTGTCCCTGTGGTGTCAGTGGATACAGTCTCATCTTTACTTAATCAGTCATTTTCCAATTTAGAAGTCATAGATGCTGACACACAGAGTCATTATGTAGGTGCTCAAAACTTTGCTTAACTAGAATTAGAGGGTATAGCTCAGTAGTAAAATACTTGACCAGCATGCATAGCACCTTGGGCTTGATGACCATGCACTGTCTCACATGTGCGCGCGTGCACACACACACACACACACACACACACACACACACACACACCTTAAATAAGCTACTATATCAAGTACTAGTGTGTTTAGAAAATTACTAGTAAATAGGTATCTTGATTTGGAAATATTTATTAGAAATATAACTGAAAATATTTTTTTCTTAAAGTAACAAAAGGGAAAATTGTCAGTAGACCCAACATCTTCACCCATTCTTGATTTTACTTATTGAGATAATACAAAAGGGTGAAACATTAAGGGAGGAAACAAGAAGACTTCAAATCCAGTAGTAATCTATCCCTCCAACCGTTAAAGTGATTTTCACTTCATCACTGCAATATAGCTGCTTCTCTCATGTGAACCACACATGAAAATTCTTTATAGAAAAATTCTATCAAATGCATGCACTTACACTTCTTTCCTTGTGATGATTTTTCCTAAGTGTTGTAAAGATGCATGTACAACCATCAACTAGAGTAAAGCCTTACAAATGACAATTCTGAGGGCCATAATAGCACCCCAAAAGGCACATAGTGGGTTCAACTAAAAAAGAGACCACAGAATGCATGTGCTATGAACATACATGTATAAATACATGGGCAAAAGAAAGAAAGTGGGGGGGGGGGAATCAGCTGAGTGAGAAATTTAAGACTATGAATGGACTAGTCCTACATTTTCTGACTCTTGGAACATATTACTCTCGTTTTAACTATGTGCCTTGTATTTTTCCATGCAACATCAATTCACATGCTTTTCTCTGTCACTGTTGATGTTTGCCATCTTACGTGTTTACCACATCCACATTAGCCTTCTCTGGTCAAACATACCAAGACTTGAATGGTAGAAGTGTTTGCAGGGCTTTAGTAAAGAGACTGTCACATGCAACTTAAAGGTGTCCTCTGTATTTTTTTATCTTCCCAACAAGCCGAAAACCAAGATTCTTCTTGTGGAGCCAGATATTATAGAACTTGCCTAGAACCTATCACTCAGAAGCTGCGGAATTGTGAGTTCATTCCAATCTTTTAGTTTCTTAGGGAGACTTTGTCTCAAAAACTAAAACACACTCATTTGTTCCTAGCCACCCTGTGCCTCCAGTTCACACCTGCCACCCAGCTGCCCTGGATGGTGGTGTTGGGCAATTTGTCAGCAGCAACTTCAACATGTGCAAAGCTAGCATTTTTGTGTGTCAATGCTCCCTTAAGCCAGCTTTCCCTCTACCATGAGTCATGTGTGGCACCAGGGCATGATGGTGGGTGTGGGCCAGAGGACTCATACATGGATAACAAGGCTTAGAACAAGAGAGTCACTCCGATCCTGAAGTGCTCGATGGAGCCCAGCTTGTCACCAACTGGAAGGACAAGGAGACGATCTGGCACCAGAGCTACCATGCCTGTGAATAGCAAGGACCCTCGCCCTCCAACCCAAAGGTCTATAGTGAAAAGATGGCCCAGATCATATTTGAGACCTTCAGCACCCCAGGAATAAACGTAAATCAAGGCAGCGCTGTCCCTTTCGCCCCTGTTTCTACCACTGGCATCACTATATACTCCAACAACAGGGTCGCCCACACTGCCCATCTAAAAGGGCTTTCCTAGATTCCTTGCATCCAGACCTTGTTGGCAATGACCTGACAGACTGCCTCATAAAGATACTGATCCCACGTGGCTACAGCTTCACTACCACGGCTAAGTGAAAACTGTACATGAGATGAGGAGGCTTACAAGTCACCCTGGACTTTGAGCAGGAGACCATCTGGCTCCGCAGCCTCTCCCAGAGAAGTGCTACAAGTTGCAGGACCACCAGGTCATCACCATGGCAACGAGAAATCTACCATCACAGGCATTCTTTCAGCCTTTCTTTCCGGGTTTGGAATCTTGCGTCACTCGCAAACTACCTTCAATTCCATAATGAAATGTGACGTCACATTCCCAAGTATCTCGATCCCAGTGTAATGTTGCTGGACCGTATCGCTGTCTCCCCAGGCTTTTCCACCAGGGCACAACGGAGTCCACTGCCTTGACTCCAGCACAATGAAAATCACGACCATGACTCTGCTTGAGCGCAGGTTTTCTATATGGATGGCGATTCCAGCCTGATCCTGTTGGCCATCTTACAGCAAACATGAATCCATATCCAGAAGGTATCACAAGCCCCACCCCTCTGCCATGCACCGCATATGCTTCTAGCTGGTCTGTGGGGGAACTGCTTTACAAATTTTCTTGACAGTGACTAATACACACACACACACACACACACACACACACACACAACCCTAGATGTTGCCATGGTATTTACTAGTATTTTAATCTTTGTGGGTTTTTATTGTTGTTGTTGATTTGATGTCTTTGACTCAGGGTTGAAAAACTATAACCGTAAAGGGGATAGTGTTTGGTTGGCGCAAGCATCCTGAAAGAAAGAAAGACTGTCTGAAATAACAGCCATATAAATAAAAAGGGCCTGTGGTAGTTGGTTCTGTGGGTAAAGGCATTTGCCACACACATCTGACCACTTGAGTTTAATTCATCATAATGCAAATGACCAAGTCCCACAAGTTATCGTCTGACTCATATACATGCTTTGGCACATATGAGTGTCCCTCTTACACACACACACACACACACACACACACTAATACATACAAGCTCAAAATTCAAAAAATCAGTTTGTGATTTGCTACAATGCATGTGGCAGGGATACATATGTGCAAAGGTAGATATGTGTGTGCCTGTATGAATAAAATAGGCTTAGCCCAGCCTGGCTTTTCACTAGAATCCTTCAAAGTGCTTTCCTCTTCCAAAGTGATGCAATATTTGATAAGTAAATAAAACAGAGGACGAGTCCACTTGAGGACAGCTGCCTCTCGAAGATCAAGAAGGCTGTGTTCCCTTAGCAGTCTAGGCTCCCATGAGGAAATCACTTTGGTTTCTTTGATGAACTTCCTCAGAAAATGCTGAAAGTGGGCAAATAGACTCAGGGGGTGGGGGGCTAGGAAATGAGACCAAGTTAACATTCACGAGATATAAATCAGTAAGGCTTAAATTAAGCCCAATAGCTCTCAGATTTGTTTATAGCTTTGTAATCACAGCAATCCTCCTGTCTCTTACAAGTACTCAGCAGGCTTAGAATCTTTAGACAAGAAAACATGAGGCAAGTAACCATTTTGATCTCTGGCAAATAACCAACTGCAAGACTGAAATATATAGTTCGGGCTCTAGCCACTCCTGTCCTCAGTCTCACTCCGAATCCAGAAACAGAACTCAAATTATGAAAATTTAGTTGACTGGGTCTCTTGCCTCAAGATTGACACCAACTAAAACAGCTCAACAAAGGTGGGCGAATGGCTGCTTCCCATTCCACCCATCTCATCCTCTTTCCTCTCAGGAACGTTCCTATGACTAGTGCCCAGTGACTTTTCCTCTGGATTCCATGCTTACAAATTTGGTTTTATGAGTTCTAACCCCAACTAACGTGTAATCAACTTATCACAATAGAGAACATCACAGACAAACCTATAACCAAGCATGAGAAGGCCTAGTTAAGATTCTAACAGTAGAGAGTACAAGTCAAAAAGGAAAAAAAAAGGAAAAATAAAGACCCAGAAAAATTAACAGCTTGAACCCACTCTTTCTAGAAGGAAACACATCAGTGTACTTTCTTGGCCTGAATGCCAAGCTGGCTGCAGGTACAATTAGTCCACTAAGTCTGCTTAAAAAAAACTCACACACTGGAAGGCTGAGACAAATGAAACTTATTTTCTTACAATTCCGGAGTGCAGAGGTCCATGACTAAAGTTCCAGAAAACTCGGCTTCTCTTTCTGGTTTAGAGACAGTGCCTTCTTGTTTACCTGGTCTTCCTTGAAGCATAGGCCTGGAAAAAAGGAGAAATTTGAGTTCCCTCGATATCTCTTCTTACAAAGTGCGATGGTTAGAACATAGATTTTCCTTTGACACTCATGCTGAAATGTAATCCCCATTAGGAGCTATTAAAAAATGGAGCCAGTTGAGATCTTTGAGAATCAATTAGGACTCTGCCTTCAGGAATGGATCCACCCAGTAATGCCATTAATGGCTTAATGTAGACATGGGTTACTTCTGGAGTGTGTGCACCATAGAGCCAGTTTTGTTAGGTTTTTCTTACACTTTCTATTTCTCATTATGTGGCACCTTATACTGCATCAACCAACAAGGAGGCCATCACTAAAATGTAGGTCCTCCATCTTGAACCAGAACCATTAGCCAAAATGAACCTCATTTTTAAATAGCATGTTGTGCTGGTTAGTTTTAATTGCCAACTTGACACAACCAAAGATCACCTGGGAAGACAATCTTGCTTAGGAATTATCTAGATTAAATTGGCCCATGGATGTGCTAATGCAGGGTTGTTTTGAGTTTTAATTGATGTAGAAACACTCAGCTCATAGTGGGCAGCACCACCCCCTAGGCAAGAATCAAGACCCAGCTCATAGTGGGCAGCACTATTCCCTAGGCAGGTGTCAAGACCCAGATTATAGTGGACCGCACCATTCCCTAGGTAGGGGTCCTGAATGATGTAAAAGAGAAGAAAGCTAGCAAGAGCAAGCTTATTCTCTCTTTGTTCTTAACTGTGAATATAATGTGACTAGCTGTTTGAATTTCTACAGTGACTTTGACAAAATGATGAATTTGGAACTGTGAATCCAATAACCCCTTTTCCACCACTATGTTGCTTTTTGTCAGAGTGTTTTTCACACCAATATAAACGAAGCTAGGACACTTACCATGTCTTAGACACTGTGTTTTTGGCAAGAGAAAACAAACTAATATATAAGAAAACTGATTCTATTAGACCCAGAGCCACCCTTAAGACCTATTTAGCTGTAATGACTTCCTCTCAGGCACCATCTGCAGATACAGTCATGTTGAGGGTTAGGGCTTTAGCGTGTGGGTTTTAGGAGACTCAGCCATGTAGCCTGTGACAAATTCCTTCAGCTCATTCATGGAGAAGTTTGCAAAGTCCCTGCTGGCTGTAGCTTAGAGGCATAGGGCATTCATGGTCACAGGCTTACTGCAGAATGGCTTAGGATCATGATGGATATTGAGGTCAGCCTGCCCTAAAGACAGGAAGCCCCAGCTTAATGAAGTGAGTAAATCACCATACTGCTGATGGGAACGCAATAAATCATAGCAATTCTCAAAAGCAGAAGGGCATACAAATCATTAGTGCTTAAGTGGCACTCACCACCCACCCTGCTCTGGTTTATACATGTTGTGTTTCTGTACACATCAGCGCATTGAGTTCTCTCTACAACTGGTTTTGACACTGTTGCTGAGAGTACAGTTCTCAGACATCCAAATCCCTGCATTTAATCTCAACCATGTGCGTGTGTGTGTTGTGTGTGTGTGTGTGTGTGTCTGGTAATGTGTGAGACCTAAACTACTGAGAAATTGTATCAACTTCCCAGTAGAACATTCTTACATTTTGCTGTAGAAGGATTTTTTACCTTGTTACAGGGCATTGCTATGCATCAAAAATCCTGCTTCACAAGCGATAACAACATCCTTAGTCCTAACAATCCCAGATGTTTAAACTCATCTGAGATGAGATATAAGTTAACTAATACATATAAAATCATGTTGTGGCACAGGTAAGAAATACACACAACTCAACTTCTGGTATTATTGCTTTTATTATTACTGTATTTTTGAAGACAAGAAAACTGGCGACAAAGAGACTCCAAATAGTTTTTTAGTTTTTAAACCACTGACTGGAATGTGGCACAGGAACCATGAACTCCAAAGCCTGTGCCCTCAACACCTGCTTTGCTATCTCTACACGTAATAAAGGATCCATTTAAATAAAACATAGTCTGTCTAAGAAGGCTTTTAAAAGTGATTTAGGGCCTGGCATGATGGTGTACACTTTTAATCCCAGCATCCAGAAGGCAGAGAGTTCCATGGAGAGAGCTTGGAGGATAGCCTGCTCTACATAACAATTTCTAGGCCAGCCAGGGCTACAGTGAAACCCTGTTTCAAAGAAATAAAAACAAAATTATAATAAAATATTTTTAGTTTTTTCCACATCAATTGGAAACATTATGTGCCTTAATGGAAAACAAGCTGAACTTTGAGGGAAATTTAAAATGAACTCTGCCCCTAAAAAGCAGCTCTTCCTGTGTGTTTTGCTTCATGCTGGGTACCTCCAAACTCTGTTCATCAGACCAGGAGTACATCTCATTCCAAAGAATTGAATTAGGAGTTGAAAGATGCTGACAGCCACCTTTTTCTGGAAAAGGAACTAATCTCTCTCTCTCTCTCTGTCTCTCTCTGTTTCTCTCTCTCTCTCTCTCTCTCTCTCTCTCTCTCTCTCTCTCTCTCTCTTTCACACACACACACACACACACACACACACACACACACACAGACACACAGACACACAGACACACACACACCAGTTCTCAAGCAGGGGTAATTTGATTCTCAGAGAATATTTGGTGAAATGTAGGGGCAAATTTGGTTGTCATAATTGAGGTATGAGTCAGAGTAAATCATGAGTCAGAGAACAGAAATCCTAATAAGCACAATATGTTTTTATACATACTCTCTCTCTCTCTCTCTCTCTCTATATATATATATATATATATATATATATATATATATATATATATATATATATATTGTGCCTATTGTATAGTGTACAGAGGCCTCAGTAGACATTTCAGTTAGGAGATATCTTGGTATCTAGTAGACAGAAGGCAAGAATGTTAACAAATATTCTACAATACACAGGACACTCCTGGAAAAACAAGTCCAAAAGAACTCCATGACCCTAAGTGTCAATAGGAACATGGTTATGAAACTGAACTAGACCCAGAACATGAACTCACACAACATCAAAGAGAGGGAGAGATGGGGAAATCCCTTATGTTGGCTCCAGTGCCTCCCTGGGCCCAGATTCTATCTGCTCACTATGTCTACTGGCTCTTGCTGCCCCGGGTCCTCCAAAATACTTTAAGCTCTTTGTTCTTCATGCATGTGAGCCATTCCACAAAACTTCCCTTCTTTCGAATGCCAGTTAAAGAGTTGATGTTACTACATCCAAATATGCTTGAGACAGGCCTTGGGGAGATGAGCTCAGAAGGCAGGAAGAACATTTCACACAGATTCAGTGAGAAGTGACAGCAGATGTAAATACACTGATTGAGAAGGAAAGCAGGGAGATGCAGAGAGAAAGATGGAGAACAATGAACTGAGGGGAAAACATTGTCAGGGTAAAGAAGCCCCATTAAGCATGGTATATTTGTGGACAGGAGAAAAAGGAAAAGAGGAGCCTAAACAGACCATACAGATGAACAGCAGGAAGGTCAAAATAAACTTGAAAGATGTACCATGACTTACAGTGGTAAAACAAACTTGCATGTATGTGATTATACTAAGCCTAATTCATCCTTTAACTAATTAAAAGGGAAATCAAAAAAATGCATTACAGACTTTCCTCCTGGACAACCTGATAGAAAAAGAAGGAGCCTTGAATTAATTGCTATTTCTGGCTCGGCTTGGTGGCACATGCCTTTAATCGAAGCACTCAGGAAAGCAGGAACATTTTCCTGTTTAGTGATTTACATGGAAGGGTCCAGATCACTGTGAATGGTATCACCCTTAGGCAGGTAGCCCTAGGTTGTTTTAAAAAGCAGTCTAGGCAAGCCATGTAAAACCAGCCAGTGAGCAACCTTCCTGGATAGGTTCTGCTTCTTCAGTTCCTACTTTCAGATTCCCACCTCAAGTTCCTGCCTTAACTTCCTGCCATGATGAACTATAAGTTGTAAGATGAAAAACAAAATGAAACAAGCAAAAACCTTTCCTCGCTACATTGCTTTTGGTCATAGTGTGTTTAACACAACCATAAAAAGCTAAGACATTATCTTTTCACTGTTTCATAGGCCTAAAGAAATACATTTTTAATCCCCTTTTGCTCCAATATTTAAGAAACCAGCTGAATCAGAAGTCATAGTAGAAGATGAAAATGAGTTTACAACACAAAACAGACAAATGTAGTGTCTTTCCTAAAGTTACTGAGTCGAGGCAGACTATAACTGCGCCATGGGTTCCTGCAATGCCAAAGCTTCTGGTACAACCTGAGATTAGCATCCAACTGTGAAAAGGTACAGTTCCAAGCCACAGAGTTCAGCAGAGTAAACCCAGACTCAACTCACTGTCCTGGCTCCATTACTGTTGAGCAAACTAACTAAATGCACATCACACAGTTTTCTCAAAGAACTACAAAACAGTAATGTTTAACATTGAGTTTTTGGTTAGCCAATGTGAAAGTCTACTAGGATTAGTAAATATAAGTGTTTTAAGTTCAGCAATTAAACCCATCATTCCAGCAACACAAAGGACATGAAACCAATTATTAATAAAGAGGTGTATTATCTCATCTGTACTGTTGATAGGAGTATTAATTGGTTCATTATTTTTGAAGATCATGGTAGTATTTAAAAGCAAATAAATTCAAACCCAGTACCTTCACACTTGGAAATTGGTCATACAGTAACCCTCTCACAAATATTGTGATGTTTGTGCAGAAGAGTCCATCAGCATAACCTGGAACTAAATTGCCATTGCCATTACCAGAGAATCAGTGTGTTTAGCTGTGATGGGTCCAGCAGAGTGAACACACCCAAGTCTGCTTCTTCCTAATGTGCCACTGACAATAATACACCAAAAAGGACTAAACCACAGGATAGAGAACAGGAGGGAAGGTGATGGCAAATAAGAGATGCCCAACAAATGCTGGAAGCTGGGAAGAGAGCAAACAGATGGGATCTGACTTAGCAAAATAGAGACCAGAAGTCTAAACAGATGCATTTTAACCCCCACTCCAAATGCA